CCCAAACCGAGCGCAAGTTTGGGCCTGGGATGGGTCGAAAACGGACGGAATCCGGACATTTGTCCGTTTGAGGCCGTGCGCTGGACCGCCTTTTTTGTCCCTTTTACCCCAAACGGACGGAGCCGGACAGGATAGGGTCACGCGGTGGAGTTGGCCTTAGACATTGTATAATCGTAGCAGAGAATCCTGACACGACAACCAGTCTGGTCCTTGGCCGCACTGGTCCCTGCCACTGCAACCGCTAGCCGCGGCCTAGTCGCCATCGTCCAAGCCCACCGTCCCATACCGCATCATGTCAGACTCAGGCTGGACAGTGGCAACCTAAATACAAAAGCTCCTCAATTTAACAGTTGACTTGGGAGGCATGGAGTGACTCAAGGACAAAAGTGGTGCTGCCGGCTGGAGCTTCCGATGGTGAGTACGGAGTTGCAACGAGAAAGAGAATGACCATGAACTGTGAAGAAGATAACATTTTGGGATGAGATCGTCATATGTGATAACATTTTGGGATGAGATCGTCATATATGTGGTGGAGGATGCTAGTTGCTCTCTGGCAGTCTGGCTAAATGCACACTACTATACTTGTACCGAAGAGAGTACTATTTGGAATTATCTTGGCTATTACTAGTTAGGTGGTTTAAAACTTCTTTATCCAATATAAGAGCATCTACAGCTGGATATAGCAAGTTTGGCTCCCAATACGTCCGCTTACACCCTGGACGCGCCCGTGGATAGGGACAGGTCACCCCTCAAAGGCACGCGTCCACAGCCGGGTATCTCAAATCCGGCACCCAAATCCATGTTATCTATGCAACGTATGAACAAAACTACATAGACAGGCGTAAGAAAGCAACAAACAGACATAGATCAACGAAATTGCATAGGAGAATCTATACATCGCAGTTCACCGGACCAAAAAACAAACAGTTCATCGCCGAACGGCCTAGGATCTAAACTTAAATAGCCAAACAAGGACGGAGAAGGACGAACGGAATTACCATTTCCCCGCCGGCCCATCCCCGTTGTTGTCACCACTACGACTGTGTCTGCGTTGGCATCAGCGGTAGGAGAGTCGTCGTCGTCGTCGGAGCTAGAGCGGTGGGAGC